TTTTTGGGGGAGGGGTTTTTGCAAAAAAAAAAAAAGGAGTGTGGAGGAGGGAGCCTTTTGTGCAAAAAAAAAAAAAAAAAAAAAAAACCTTTTACACAAGATCCTGTATACCTCAGCATAAAGGATTTTGCGCAAAAGTTTTTTTTTTGTGCAAAATGGCCCCGTCTACACTGCTTTTTCTTGCGCAAAAACCTCTTCCACAAAAAGGATTGGAAGAGACTATGCAAATGACAGCGCAAGAAATACTAATGAGCGCTTCATTTGCATCGCCTCTGTTGACAAATTCCTGTTGTCTAGACGTAGCCTAAGAAGAATGTGTACCTACAATTTCTCAAGAGTAAATTCCAGAAAGGCTGGCCTAAAGTGAACAGAAGCAGGTTGCCGTGGTTCCGTCTAACCATTTTACAATTGCCTTAAGCAATTAAATAAAATAATAATTTCTGTTTATTGTTTGTACTGCGGTAGCACCTAAAAGTCCCATTCACAAACTAGGACCCCAGAGTGCTAGACAATAAGTAACAGGGAGCATTGCTAATACCGAGGAAGTCATACCCAATTATCCAAGGCAAAACTGAAAAGGATTTTAGGATAACTACTATACTAGAAATACAAAGGATGGAATCAAGGGGATTGATTACAATGGAATTATATAAATTATAAATGAGCACCAGTGTTCCCTCTAATTTTTTCCATCATGTATAGAATACATTTTATGTTAACCAAGGCACGTGCAGTTCTTTACCACCAGTAAAACCTAACCTCATACTGCTGCCTATGGGAGGCTCTGGGCACTTTACTAATCAGCTGGGCAGCATCTGAATCTCTCCTGGGGTGGCTGCCCAAGTGCTTAGCTTACAGGGAACACCGGTGAGCCCATAATTTGACCCATAGAGCCCCGATATCAAAATCACCTTCAGATATTCTTACAAAATAAGTTTTCAGAGGTACAATAGTCTAGGTAAGATTTTCCCCCTACAGTTATGCAAGTCAGGTTCTGAGAAAACATTGGAATCCTACACAGTCCCCTCTAACACACACACGTGGATCCTTATGTAACTTTATCAGTCCATTCAAAGTTTGCCATCCACAGCGGCAACACCAGATATTTAACTGCTAGTTTCTTGGCTTAAAAAGAAAAAGAAAAAGACACCACGCTTGCTACTTGCTTCTTCTTTGGGCCAACCAATGTCATTACATTGTGAAATGGCTCTGCTCTGATTTGGGACAGCTGCATTTCTGACCCACACATCTCTTTTCACTGGAGTCCTCATTTCAGAGGTACTGTTGGATACTGCAGAGCAACCTGAATTGATTCCTTCACCCTCCAAATGAGATGAAACTTGGTTTCAAGGTATATGTCTAAAAAGCGATAGGTTCTTACTATATTTCTTGTTTTCAAATTAGCTTTAAGGACAAATCAAGGCACTCGTGCAGATCCTTGGCTACATG